GGAAGAACAAAATTATCTATCATTCTGTTCTCCGTTCTCATTACATTTCGAGTATCATGCAAATCAGCTTGGTCACATTTTCTCGATCGGTGTCGATCGGTTTAAACTCAACAACAACAACAACAACAAGAACAACAATAACAATTCTGAAACAGCTTGTACAAAGAGTAAGTAGGCTTTGCACGCAGGTAATGTAACCGGCAACAGTTAAATACCGTTCCGTTGTCAGGCAATTTGAGGAACCACGTGTTTACCCATACGAACGAGAGGCCGTACAAATGCGAGCTTTGTGGCAAAGGGTTCAATCAAATGTCGAATTTGGTCTGCCACAAGGTCAAAGCTCATGCACACGCGGAGAAAATGCAGCACGTGTGCGGAATCTGCGGCAAAGAGTTCCCGCGCCGATTCTCTTTGAGATCGCACGAGGAGTACAAGCATGGGATAAAGTATCGACATCCGGCCGGTGTGCAGACCGGAATCAACGATCCGAACGTCATAAGAAAGTAGGTAGACGTCGCGTGGGATCGCGAGCGATTCTTAATACGTCCCTCGATACAACCCGTCCCGTTCTCTATTTTGCGCAACCAATGAATGCAACCTGAATGCCCGATGCTTCTTTCACGACCTCTTCTTCCTTCTCTTTGTTCTTCTTCTTTCTTCGAGTCTTCTCCTATTTTTCTTCCCTCTTTTTTTCTTTTTTTGATCTTATTAGTAGTATTGGATTGGAATTTTTATTACTTTTTCTCATGCTTGAATAAGCAATAGGCTTTTCTTGGTGCCAATTTGAGTGGTTAGATGGTGGTTCGAAACTCGATGGTCTTGTATAATAGATGGTGGTTGGAGCCTCGTTCGGATTAAGCAAAGTTTCTTGAATCCACCTATCTTAACTAACTTGAACAAGGCTTTTGCATCACGGTTTAATGAAATTAATGAAATACTAATTGTTTAATAATTGTATGGATTGCTTAAGTCAGCCGGGATCAGTACTATTATTACACACGTGTGTGAACGTGTTTGAAATTTTTGTATTTTAATCAAAAACGATTCAACAATTGAGAAATGAAATTTCAGCAAGAACGTGAGGATCGTGCAACTGCCCAACGGAGATCGAAATCAAACTATCGAAGTCAGGGACAAGGATCCTTTGATGTGTGTTAGTAATTCAATTAAGTAGCAAGAATTTCACGATATATAAAAAAATATATATGTATATATATAAATAATAAATTCGTGAAATATTTTTTATTCAACAGTCAGATGTGATGGAGTCGGTGGTGATAGACAAAATCGACACGAAGGCGATGGAAATGGCATTGATCGAGGGACAAACGCCATTCGCGTTGTTCAAACCAGCCAAAGGAATCCCTGTCCTGGTGAAAGTCTCTCCAACTGGGACTCATAAAAATGTGACGAATTTTTTTTAATTGGAATTGGAATTTTACGAATTCTCTCTTCATCCCTATTTATTTCTCCATTTGCGAATTTTTAGATATTGACACCTGCCACTGCTGAAGATTTACGCATGGCGGGCAAGATGAGCCTAAGCCCGACGATTACCGCTGATCCTGACAGGATTAAAGCGGTACAAGTGAAGGTACCAGTGGTAGCCACGGTTATCCAGAGCATTGACTCTGATGGAAAAATGAATTTCATCGTCGAACCCCCTGGCCCCGAGAACGAACACGGTAAACAAACAAATTTATCGTAATATTTATCGTATATTTCCAGTAACGAACGTTACATTAGAATTTTTTACAAATTTATTCGTTATTTTACAATCACTAATTTCATTTTAAGGAATTGCAAGAATATCACTTTTTATTTCTAAGAAAGAATATATCGTTCCTTCCTTCCAAGTAACTAGAAAAGTAAAAAAAAAAAAAAAAAAAAAGAAAATGAATTTATGGAAAATAAGCGTTATGATAACGGGGAAAATAGCCAGGCGGGCACAATGGTAATTGTTTCGAGGCGTTAGCCAAAACGATTCCATTACTCGCGATACGTTTTGGAAAAGAAGGATTTTCTAACGCGCCGTTGCCCGCCTATATAATTGGCTCGTTAAAGTAGCGATGTTTTTCAAAGTATCGGCAACGATATGGCGTTTATTTGGTGCACTGTCGACAGAGAGCTTGGTCACGGCATTGGATTCTCAGTTCACGTACACCGAGCCGGCCAGAAACGAGCCAGATCGCCAGAATGGCCCTGTTGTGTCCTCGGCGATGGAGGATTGCAACGAGCTGCTGGAACTGGCCGCCCAGGGTGGAATACAGTTCGTGCGCGCGACAGAGGACGGTCGTTACGAGGTGATGAATCATTCATCATCGATATCGAAGATTTTTCAGATTTCATCGCATATATACCTCGATATTTATGTATATATATATATAATGAAATCGGATTTCTCTCGTGAAACGTGAAAGATTTTTATATATCGGCATACGTTTATCGATTATTTTACTGTTTCATCCTGTTTCATATTTTAATGTGGATAATTTTTAATTGGATAGTTTTTGACTTAAAAGAGATCTCAAATCGGTTGAAATGTGATAAAGAGTATTTTAAGTTTGTGATTTCTTTGAAGAATGAAAATTTTAATAGCATGGTTTAACATTTTTTTGTTCTTAAATTGTTCGATAGATTTATGTATGTAAAAATTCATTACAAATTGAAAACGAGATTTTTGATTAGTTTTGGATAAGATTAAAATTAGTTGGTTCGTGATTATCGGAGAGAAAAAAAGAGGATTATTGTAATGCACGTACAAAAATATAACGCGTAAGTAAAAATGGATGTTTATGCGTTTATGAAAAATTTGAATGTACAAAAATCTACTGCGTGAGTACAAAAAAAGTCACGAGAAACGTTCAAAGTATCATCATATCATATTTGAAGAACGAAACGAGTCTTTCATTCAAGCTTCTTCGATCGTGTTTATATAAAATATATTTATTTCGCATAAAAATTCTCAGTCTGTGTTAAACGTAATGAAATGAGGAATGAAAAATTCAATTCAATGATCAAGAATTTTCGATATATTAATAATTTCAAACTGTTGAATTGTGCAATGTCGAGGTTTTTAGCAATGAAACCAATTACACGATCGGAAGTTCGAAATTCTGTTATTAATTATTATTTCTCGATGATGACAGGTGATGACGAACAGCGAGGCTCGCGATCTGATGGCACAGAATTCACACGACGTGACCATTCTTGAGGGTGAGGAAGCGGATGCGATCAATGTTGTGAATATGCGCGGCAACGGGGAAGTTATTATCGGGGATTCCGATAATCAGATCATGGTACTCGATTCCGCATCGACGCAGAAATCCATGCCGATGGACGGCATTGAGATCCTGGAGGACAAGGATATCCGGATATTGGACAGCAAAAGCCTCGACGACCGTTTCGTGGATGGTATTAGCTTCCTCTCCCAATCGAAGATCGACGATCTGATTTTGGGCCCGAAACCTTTGTCCATCGATGGTGGTGTAACTGTCAACGACCACGAGGACGAGGGTGAGCTTTGTCCAAATTTCTTTTCTTTAAATCTCCGCTGTCTTTCCTTCGCGGCTAAAAAAGATTCTCTTACTTTTTATTTAGTTGTGCGAATGTCGTGTCACATCATGTCGTTGGAGAGTTGTTAAAAAATTTGTTGGAATTTTTTTTCACAGCCATAGGAGTGCCTTCGAGTCAACAAGAGTTGACGAACATCCTCAGCCACAGAAGCGATATTTCCACGCTGTCGACCACATCTCAGCCCTCGATATCGTCCCTGTTAATGAAAAATCATCCACCCTTGTCGATTTTGAACGATACGCTTCCGTATCTGAAAAGCAACACCAGCTTAGCCGAAGATCTCAATATTCTAGGTAGTTCGACGATGGACGATCATCATTCCGTGTACGAGTCCAAGATAAAATTACCTTCCGTTTTTGACGATCCTGAACCAGATACTGGCCTCATACCCATCAATCAATCGGATATGAAGATACTCGGATCGGGAACTTCGAATAAAGTAAAATTTTCCTTTTTAAATTGTCCAATTAAAATAATCAATCGCTTTTGATCTTAACGAATGGATAAAGACTTCACAATGATCTCCCATATTTTTGAAATTTCACAGGTCCTTGGCAGCAAGACAAATTGTCTACCGCCATCGAAATTGTTCCCCGGCCTGAACGAGGTGAAGATCCTGGGTCCGAAGAACCACAGCCAAGAGATCATGACTTCGCAGTATCAGGATATAAAGTTACTCAGCCCTTACGAACAGTTTTTGAAGAACACCGCCTCGAACACGAACGGGTGCGACAGCGGTGGAGTGAACACTTCCGGCGGGTGTAGGAAGGAGGTGAAGATCCTGGGTAAGAAGTTGGGAACTGGCATTATCACCAGCACCGAGGAGGGCAACGTTGTGGAAGTCATCGAGGAGAAAACTAAGCTCGTAAGAGATTCCACGATTACCTTCAATTCGCCCATCGTGTCTTCAACATTCTTTTAACATTAAAAATCCTGGAATTTGTCGGAATTCAAAATATTTTCATATCGAATTTTTCGAATCGGTTTATCATCCTTTTTTCTCTTCTTTTCTGATTTTATGATTTCTTGTCTGATCTTGTCCGTCGTTGGATTCTCAAGTCAAACTCATCGGGTTTGATATTTTTCCAAATGAATTAGAATTCGTTTTGAAGAATTGCTTTTGTGAAAATTTGACAAACAATGAGCAAGGATATTAAATATTGAATGTTTTTATATTACAGATGATGGACGGTCCAGGTCTTTGCAATCCCACCGACAACACGGTGATCTCATCTCCGCGTCTGGACAGGCAGATCACGGAGAATGGCGGGCCAGACAGCTTCTTGCTTCAAGTAAAGAAAAAACACGAGTACGCTTACGATTAATAGACAGCTGAAACAGAGAATCTTTTCCACGATTCATGCAGGCATGTAGCCCGTGCGACTCAGATTTCCTGAATTTCGAGAACCGTTTGAAGGACACGTCGCCGGCCGGCCATTTTGAGCGAACCCAGAAGGATTCGAGGGACAGTTTCAGCTCTACCACCGGTCTTCCCGATCTCGATTGAACGAAGAAATCGGTGAACGGCCCACTCTGTTCACTCTTCTCCTTGGCTCTCCTCCGTTGAAACTGTCCAAGCTCGACGAGTGGAAAGGAAAAAAGGAATAAGGGAAAAAGAGAGAAAAAAAAAAAAAAGAAAAAAAGAAATATCGCCACGAGATCTTTAAATGGCTGTGAAGGGATGGATGTGATTATTATTATATGAATTGACACTAGAAACTAGAAAATTAACGTCTCGATGTTGTTCGTTCGTCGAATTTCTCGTTCTCACGCGCTCGCGATCTAGTAGCGAAAACGGAATGTGCATATTTTATTTTTTTTTTTTTTCGATTTTTATTTCAGGATTTCCCGTACCGATCCTTAAAACTAGTTTCGAATTCTTGTGAATTTTATTCCGAACGTCTTATATAATGTTAGTTCCAGAGGGTTATTCTCGATATATAGTTTGCGCCCCGATTTTTCTTCTGCTTCGTTTCACGGTGTTTTTTAGGTTGACTCGCGAAACGAGTAAATTTTAGCACGAGAAAATTTGCGAGGAAGACACCGGAATGCTTTTAATCGATCGTATCCTAGGAGAAAAAAGAAAAAAGAAAAAAAAAGAAGAGAAGAAGAGAGAGAGAGAGAGAAGAAGAGAGAGAGAGAGAGAGAAGGAAAGGAACG